ACACAAAAGATCACACCATCTTGGTATTCATACCTTCGATGAACGAGGCAAGTTTACTCATAGGTGGGAAGGTGAAGATGGCATGGTCGCATTTTGGTTTTCTCATCTTGCGAATAAAAGTCGGCTTTCGAGGAATCTCTTGATTTATAATTGTTGAGCTTACTTCCATTTTGAGTGAAAGTGTTGGGTGAAGAGATTCAAAGGTCGGTTCCACCAGAAGACGACGGCGAATCCCTCTTGACCAACTGTCGGTTGGCTTTACTTGAACATTTATGCTGACGCTGTTTCCGAGCATGATCTGCTTCGATTCCGGTGAAAAGGTGCTAAGATCTCGTCCGTCATTAGACGGACATCATCCGAGCGATGTACCATCGTCACAACAAAATTGAAGCGGAAAGTATATATACAACTTTTTAGAGATTTGCCGGTGAGTTTTCTTGACTCGTTAGCTTCAATTTGGTTGTGACGATGGTACCTCGCTCTGATGATGTCCGTCATATGACGGACGAAAACTTAGTACCTTTTCACCGGAATCGAAGAAGATTGCCTCCGATACAGCGTCAGCATGAATGTTCCAGTAAAGCCAATCGACAGCTGTTCAAGAGGAATCCACCTTCGTCTTCTGGTGGAACCGACCTTCGAATATCTTCACCCAACACTTTTATTCTAAATGGAATTAAGCTCAACAACTTCTCGGCTTGGGCGTGTTGTCAAGGCAGGCTTCGAGGAAGCTATCTTTTTCGGAGTCCTCTGTTAGAAAGGAGAAGAGTGAAGGAAATTTAGCCAAAGTATGGACTTCCCTCGTTTTTATGACGAGCTTAGCACAAAAAATAATAGGACTCATAGAGGATGACGACAAAATGAGCTAGAATGTACCAAGTGCTCGAGCCCACGTCGTAAATGATCTCAATCACGCAGAAACAGGCGCGTTCTTCGAGGTCCCTCTGGCCTGACAACTCAACTAAGTTGCGAGAACGCTCATTTGAGGAGAAAGCGAAACGTGTCAATTCGACAAGAGCATCTTCTCTCATCAACCGATACAAGAGGCCCACAATTGCCTGTCATGCTCAGGCATGCCCGATCGAATGAGTGCCGACCCAGATGCACCAAAGGCAGGCCAAGTTGAAGAAGAAGCACCTATCCTGAATAGCGTGTGAGGGCTCAGAGCTGGAGCCTCAGAGCGCAGCAGCTGTACCACACCAGCCCGAGGCTAGTCCCCAGAATGGGGCCCATGAACTGGCCGACGATGCGGCGCTACGAGGAGGCAAGACTCGAAGGGCGGCCAGCCCGGCCCACCTAAACAGGCGGCATGCTGGTCCATTCGCACGTGGAGAGGCACATCGTCCGGCTTCGTCCAGCCGCCCAGCGGGTGCAACAACAGCACCGGATTCCGGTACCGCCCGTTGCCCTCCTCCAGAAGGCGTCGTCTCGTCTCCGCCATCAGCAGAGCGTGCCCGTTGTGCACGGGATTGCGCAATTGAAAGGCAAACACCGCGTCCGCCTGGGCACCGGAACGGGCGGCGAATGTGGGGCAGGAAAGATGACAAAAGTGAATATACGACAAAGTGAAATTGGTGTTTCGAGAGAGAGAGAAAGCAACTGCCAAAGTTGCAATAATCGGTTGGATCATGTGAAGATGAGTATCATCGAGTTATAGATAGCATTTAACCTTTACAAGAGTATTATCAAGAAAAATAGGTGGAGCTTTTATAAGAATTTTGCAAAAAGGAGGCGACGCAACTAGTCTTTTCTAATAAGATGTATTCACCCAAGTTCGTTTAAGGTGATGAAGGACTGGTAGAAGTGAAATTTTCCCACAAATGATATGATTTGGACTGACGTTTCCATTGAATATTTACATAGCTTTACATTCCCAAAAGTTGTTTTCATCCAGGCACCAGTGGACTGCAGTTTCGACCTCGCATTGGTCTTATCAACAC